ACTTTAAACCCCAAAACATCCTTCTTCTAATAAGGGTTTATTACATGTTAACTCATTATTTAAATTTTATATATTTCATTTCTGATTTGGTACATATTTACAACTGCTACAATAATTTATTAGAAGAAAATCTGACTGAAAAAAATTTTTAACTGGTTTTATAAAATTAAGAAAGCATGACTAGCATAAATTCTTATCTAAGGAAAGTCTTCATGCCCCCGTTACTGTGTTAGTACGCTAACTCACTGCACTGCTTCAGTGCATTTCACATAAATGTTACTGACACCAACGCAGATTCCACATGCTGGTCTCGCCGCATTCAAGCACAAACACCGCCTTGTCATAGCCTCCCTCACCAGAGAAGGAGACTAAGGCTAGTGAGAGGCAAAGGCCGTGACTGAAAACCAAGTGAAATACTCACCTGCATTTACTATATACTTACAACTTTCCATACCTACTTAAAAGCTAGCAACAACATACATAATTATAATTCAAAACCAACCCACCCCCCCACAATCTCCAACAGAAAAATCAGTCCTATCTTCCAGGGTTTTACAAGGTAAAAGAAGAAGAAGTTGCAGAAACTCAACAGTGTATGTACATCAGGGCTCAGCAGATGGACCCCACGAGCCAAATCTGGTCTCTGCCACCTGGTCTCACAAGTAAAGCTTTACTGATCACAGGAACACCATTCACTTAAGAACTGTATATAAAGTGCCTTTGTGCTACAATGGCATAGATGGGTAATGAGTACAGTTTAGACTATAAAATTGAAAATATCTACAAAATATCTGGGCTCTTCACAGAAAAAGTTTGCCAAGTCCCGGTATACACTGATTCTACATAATACAACCGTAACCGTACAAATTTATAAATTCTGATGTTGTAAACCAGTGAGAATACAAATGTTTCTTTTACAAACATGGCTGTTAGGTTAAAAAAGGACCCGCTGCAAAGAAGTGGAAAGAGTTTGTGAATAACTTACTAACGAGAGTGACCTAAGAGGTGCAGTTGATTCTAAGGCTTTCTGTGCAAGATGAAATATTTTTTAACCAGGAAGAGGTCCTACCTCTGGTTCCGCTTTGGCTTCTTCTTTAGGTTGAGCCACGGGGCTAACTGGCTTGACTTTCGCTTCAGTCTTTCCCTGCGAGCTCCTGGAAGCCACCACAGCCCTTGCAGGTGGTGAGGCGCTAAGGACAGGCTTCACCTGAGCCGCGGGTGTGGAGGAGCAGCGACTGCCACTCATCTCTATGACGTGCGATGGCGCTATCGGTAACTCACGCAAATTACTGTTTCGTGGAGCGGTGGGCTGCATTTGCTGCATGGGCCGTTTGGTTACATTCTGAGAAGTTGTATTCTATCACAAGAAGAAAAATTTCAATTATAATTAGAAACTTGGCAGA